TAAATGTCGATTGCTTGAAGTTTTAGATGAGAACTGTCCCTATGTTTATCCCCTCATTGTTTCAATACTATTGTGCTCACAGCAGGATACGAAAGTTTTGGTTATGCTACTTCGTTGGATGATTGATACTCACGCATGTGTAATCCCAAGTTGGGATAGAACAATTATCTATTCCTCGGTAATTTTATGATGTAGAATTATCTATATCATATATTCCACCTACTATTCAACAATTCATGTGCTATCTTCAAGTTTATTATCAGACATGAAAATGAAAAACGATTTTGAAATACTTAATCGGACCTAAGGTAGACGTTGGATCCACGTGGTCGTATAATTGAAAGGCTTCATGAAATTAACTCCATCTGTATTCAAATTACTTTCACTCAATCAATTGTAAACGAGTAGTTTCTATAACATTAGTTTGTGAATAGAGTATACGGATCTATATAAGTAATAAGTTGGCCAATGAAAAATAACAGTAAATAGTGAAATTAATAAGATTATTTCAACTTCTTGGATCAACTTAGGTACATGTTCCGAACCAGTTCGATTGGTAATAGTTCGTCTTCGATTGTTTAAATATACTCGCAGTCTATCTTTCCAAATGATATATAATTTTAGTGATAAGATTCATCTGTGACTAATTAATATTATTTTTTTTTAAAGCTAACCAGTTACTTTAAAACCCTTTAAAATGGTTAGATAATCTAAAAATCATTAAGTTTGTTGAGTTCATAGCTGACAAATAGCTAACACTATATTTACATATTCACCTGGTAACGATATCAGAAACTCTTCCTTCTCATTAATAATAGCATTTTTCCGATTAAACAATTGCTTGTTTTATTTTAGCTACATGGGTTTTATATATCACATTTTCCATAAGTCTTTTATTCAATATCATCAACTCAAAAATCAACTGACTTCATTCAACAACATTTTGCCTCATTTCACACAATAATTTTGGTACTATCAGTTCTAATTTTCGTGAGATCTTCAGATAATTTAGTGAATTATAACAAATAATCAATTTTATATACATTACTATTATTCTCATTTGACCTTCGTCATACTCATACGTATTGCAAAACCTACCCAGCTTTTTTTCGGGTAAATTGAAAATATTCTTAATTTCATAGGTAAAATAAATCTTAGTTTCTACAACAGACTGTAAGGGATTACTGAAAATTTAACTAAATGAAATGAATTCATAATTAAACTAATGTTCTTTTGTTAGATATTTAATGCCATTAACTTCCAGTTATTGTAAAGATACACAATAAAATCCTGTTCTGTCTACTTCAAATAAAACGGTGGAGTAGTAATACTAACGCCAGCACAATAAAAGGTCTAGTTCACAGTTGTTTTTGAGTATAGAGTTGCATTACTAGTCAATTGTAAAAAACAAATTACATAGAGTTGAAATATGGTTCAAGGATTTCAAATAGACAAAGCAATAGATTGAAGGAATATTTTGGGATGATTAGTTTTTCAGTATAGGGTTTTGTGGAGATTTTGTAATTTCCATAGACTATAAACCACTGACTTATCTCATTAAGAACATCATTGAAAGTTATCTACCGCAGGATATGGAAGATGGTTTCGCAACATCATGAATTGATCGAAGTTAGATAATAAAATCTTAGGGCCCTAGTTTAGTTGTCAAGATGTTAGATATTTGCATGCGAGACCGAGGGTCCTGAGTTAGTTTCCCGGCCGCGAAATCGCGAGTACATACTGCTGAGGAGCCTCATACTAGGACGAAACGGTTGTTTAGTGTTCCCAGGTTTATTGTTGTGGTTTAACTAAAATCATTTCGTGATCTAAAATCTATGGAAATGAGTTTATCAATTGATAGAAGTCTGTTCGGACGATTCATAAATAATTAATTAAGCTCGGATTGGTGTCACCTAGAGACCATCATTAAACTAAGAATATTAAATCTGTCTAACAGCTACTTATTTCGTAATGCATACTTCTAAGTCATAATAAGAACTTGAGATCTAAAACCAAGCATAAGTTCATATGATCGGCTTTAAGTCACACTTTTTTCTAATGGTTCATGATGACAACTGAACTTCATGACTTAAACGATTAGATTTTTGAATTTACAACTCGATGGATGAAAGTCAAGTAGTTTGACAGTTATATTGCCATTTAAATGCGCTAGTTTAGTTGAAAGTGGGTACAAGTGTCTGATGATAATGATATTGAATCAAGGTTGTAATTTAATTCAAAAATTCACTTATTCTTCAAAAATAAGCCATCTGTCGATACCATTTCCTTATTACTGATACAATTAAGGTTTATTATCAGAAGGGATTTTGTGGAGATTTTAGTAATTTTATAGTTGAGTTCATGAGTCAATTGAAGCTAGACCACCATGGAAAACGTGAAAGCACTTGACGGCCGTTTCGTCCTAGTATGGGACTCAGCAGGGCGCATCCAGCGCTCACGTATGAGACTGATAGTTCCTGAATTTGAATCTCGCGAGGCGGAATCGTGGATGCGCACTGCTGATGATTCATATACTAGGACAAAACGGCCTTCTAGTGCTTACGCGTTTTCTATGGTGCTTTAGCTTCAATTAACTGATGAATTCAACTATAAAATTAAAGTTAAGGCACTCAATAAATCGTGAACATTTGTTCATATGAGAAGTGTTTTTGCATAATTATGCCGTTACCGTGACAACACATTGTTCTATTAATTCCTAATGCAAACAGCAGTTATCAACTACTTAGTATGTTAAATTTCAAAATACTGTATGGATGACCTTGTTATAGATTGTTGTGAAGGTTAGAATATCAAACTGGTAAATTAAAAAGCTGAAAGAATAAGCATTTAATTATAACTAGAAATTCTCCCTCAAAATGTCAACACTTTTTTCTAAACAACGTATTTTTATTTTATTCTTCTTGAAATATGTAAAAACAACGATCAAAGCCGAATAATGTAACTTTAGTTTCATTCGGTAAGCCAACAATAATACTCAACTATCGGAATTACGAGTGAAAATAAGGTGATTTATTTGCTAGTAAATTCAAATAATAGTGTAGCAAGGACTGTAGAAATCCGAATAAATTTTAAAAAAGAGATCATATGAATGTTAAGTCTGATACTCTAATGCTTATCAATGACTAGCAAACCCCTTCATAGTTTTCCAGAGTACTCCTTTACTTGAGCTACCAAACGGTAGACAGAAGTTAGGAAATATGAACAGAATCAGTACTTCTGACGTTAGTTTATATACAGAAAACAAGGGTATTTTTAAGTTTATTGCTATGCTCGACACTATGGAAGCTTCTGGGAGAACAGTGAATTTGGTAACTAAAGAAATAATACTAATTTAGTAATTTAGCGCTGATTAAATGAAGCTCTTTCAGCCCCTTTCCAGATTCCTAAGTGTTTTCACTAGGTATTCTGTTAAGTTCCCAACACTTAGATATTACAGTCAATTAATGAATTGAAATGTGGTAGTTTGAAGTGTCTGTCGAGCTAGTTACTTAAATTACTTCTAAGACTTGAGATAAAGATAATATATATAATAATAAAATTTTGACACAAAACAGTTACTTTTCTCATATTACCACCAACCATTGATCTTAATAATGATATTTCTTAAGTAGCAGTTCTAGTCATACTCTCAGTTCTCTACTGCTTTGAATATCAGGAAATGCACAATACTCCTTGTTGTATAAACTATAGAATCATGAATTAAAACGAGATAACCATGGTTACTATACTTTATAACACTATTTGAAGCAATTTGTTTTTTATTTTTATTTCAAAATTACCTCTTTTTAAACATCAATTTTTTTCTTTCTAAATTATATAGAATGTTTTACATTTCAATAATAAAATAATTTAATCACTGATATCACATGAAGAACAATTGAAGATTCAAAATATGTATGTTAAATTTATTCAATGTTTCAATTGAGTAATTTCTAGCATGTTTTTTCGGTGAGACTATAATTTATTGACGACCTTGGGGCTACGCTAAAATGATCTTGAGAGTGTCTATCTACTTACTAGAGCTAAATGAGGGTTATAAAGCAGTTTGAAGAATAATGATTATGATTTACAATTGATGGTAAGGGTTAGGAACTAGATTCATGGTTTTCATTAACGAACTGACATCAGTTATAATACCAAGACTCTATTTAACCAAATAGGTGAATGATTTTCGCACTAAAATCTAAGACCTGTTATCTTAAATCTGATTGATTCGTCCATAAATTATAGTTTCACCGTCTATACAAAATTGTTTTGTTTCTCTCTCTCTCTACCTACCTCTCTTAAATATACAATTTTGTAAAATGAAAATGTTCAAACTAAACATTAACAGTAAAAGAAAAAAAAAGGAATATTGAATATTGAAACAACAAAATATTTTTCAAATATGATTTTAAGAAAGAAAAAAAAATGAATCAAACTTAGAAAGTTAATTTTTAAATCAAGATTATGTATATGACATAAATCATGTACATTCATATTGTTTAATTGAATCATAATTGTGTTTCATTAATTAAAATTTGAATGTATAAAAAATATTTAATAAATATTTATTGTTCAATAAAATATAATTGGATTCAATTAAAATTTATAAATAAGAAAAAGTTTATGATTCAAATAAAGTTTTTTTTTCAAAAAAAAGAAAAAAAGAAAAGAAAAAAGAAAGAGAGAAAAGAGAATACTGAAGAGATTAATAATCCCCAAAATTGGTGGTAAATGGTAAAACTTTTGGAACAGATAATCACAAGTACATTGACTTGTAGGTTTACAATAATTTCATTAAACTGTATAAAGAATTAAGTCATATATATATATATACTACTAATAATTTTTCTTAAAAATTACTCACTTTCCTACTACTTTGTATGTTTCATGTTAACTTTGAATACCTTTAAAATAGAAACAATTTTGAATAGAGATGTTTTATGATTATTAAAATCGTTGTGTTACTTTTTGTGTAAAGACAATAAAAAAAATTATTATTTTTCAAGTAATTCTTTCAATTTATTAATATAATTAATAGCACCACGTAATATTTCAACTTTAGCTAATCTTCTATCAGGTAATATTGTTAATGGTAAATGACGTCTTAATGATTCATAACCAGCATTCACACATCGAACACGTTCACGTTCACGTGCATTACGTAATCGAATGAAACTTCGTGCACATTCAAATGATGTTGATGATGGAGATGATGTTGAAGAAGATGATGATGATAAATTCATTAAATTATTATCATTTGATCTTATATGATGATCATGTGTTCGATGAATTCGTTTAGAATCTATTTTAGTTTGCATTGGATCATCACATTCACTATTGAAATTTTTCATAACATTAAATTGTATTGGTGTCTTTCTATATTCATTGATTTCATTCATTTGATTTGAGCATAAACAAGTCCAGTTTGGTGTTGAGCGTGTTAAATTATTTCGAAATCTTTTAGATGCCAATGGTGGTGATAATGATGAGAATGATGAATCAGCTAGATCAGATTGATTAGTATGATGTGTCGACGGGGATAAGAGTACTTCTTGATGTGCATTACGATGATAGATCATATTACCATTGGATGTATTGGTATATATATATGGTAATAAGTTTGCTGAATGTTCTAAACATTGATTTAACATAGGTTTATAGTTTAGTGAATTATCATACAATGTTTTTGATGAATTTATCGAATCCAGTACATTATTTTCTAATGTAGGTCTTGACATACCTGTTATTAATGCTGGTGATGTATTTGAATTGAGAATTTCGTGATATAAAAATGAGTTATTATTTGGTTGAAATTGGTTTATTCTATGTATTTCTGATGGATTCATCTCTCTCAATGAATTCATCCTTGTGGGAACCATAACTCTATCATAAGTTTTGTTCTGAATACGACTATCCATATTAATAATAGTAATAATAAATAATAGTTGGGAAAGAAATATTAACTTAGAATTAAGTGTGTTTTAAAGACAAAAAATAAGGGTAGAGATATGAAACAAATAGTATAATTCCCATTATTAAATAACGGTCAATATTTTAACTGGTTAAGAATATTATATTTTGGAAATTCTATTGGCTCGAGACAACATTTTGCCCTGTAAAACTAACCAATGAAACAATTCACCAGGAGGGGAATAATTCTTACTGGGTTTGACTATCCAATCAACGAATAGTTCACTAGATAGGATATGCAGCTTTTGTTTTAACAAGTGTGATGTAAAATTTTGACTTGGTTAATGCTACTTGTTAACTATGTATTTACCTAATGAAAGTGAGGTCACCTTAAGACTGGAGGAAATTTAAGCAAAATAAATAACATACAATATGTCAGAGTGAACATCTGCAATAAATATTAAAGTTTTCAGTAGTAGTCTAACATTGATCAGTTTATAATTTCAATAAAATTCAACACTCTCTACAACCCTATACTGAGAGTTACCATGTGCTCACTAGCGACTAGTTTCGAGAGGTAATTCTCGGAGTTCTAGTTAAAAACCGTGGCCAGTTGTGTGAAGCAGTGACCCATCGAAAACAATGGGATATGGTTACACAACATCGTGGATTGGTTGAAGTTAGAAATTAAAGAATTTGGATCCCGGCTCAGCGGTCTAGAGGTTAGACGTTCTCATGTAAGACAATAGATCGTTGGCTTGAGTCACACGTGAGGGGTAGTGGATGCGTACTGCTGAGAATAAAACGATTGTTTAGTGTATCTAGGAATTCGATTATGGTCTAACACTGATAGGATCATGGTTACAGTGAATTACTGAGATAACCATACCCACTACTTTGACAAAAAATTAGAATAGAAATATTTATTCATTATATTTGGAATCTCGTGATTACTTTAAACTGATGTAGAAATATTGAAATATATTATGCATCAATTACAGTAATAATAGCAGTAATAACAGTAGTACCAATAATAATATAGTGGATTTTCAGCTAGTTTAACAGACAGACACTAGATACAGTGATGTTCGGTGACAGTAATAACAAGAATTGTCAGTACCTGAGATTAGGTTAGTTAAAAACCAAAGCATTTTGTTACGTAGTTGAAAGCAATAACATATTGATGATAATATTATTACAAATCATGTTCATCACTAGACTAGAAGTTGGGTGTTAGAATCTATTTGATGAAATGGCTATGCACTGTAGGATAGTTATATGTTAAGACGAAACTTTCGTTCAGTCCACTTTGGTTTCTGGTGTTTCCTAAAATATCGATTGTTATTATAATAGTTATGAAGACGAACTAAAGACTGAATCAACTCACTTAGAAAGTTTTTTCAAGGAAATATTTGAATAAATCATTATTAAATAGAAGAAAGGCATAGAAAACCAGAGAATATTAGATAAGTATTTTAGTATTGTTCATTTTAGGATGGGACTATAGAACTCCGTAATTTATTAATATTTATTAGTGGAAGCAGCCTAATCTATTCATCTTGAAGAGAGCAAGAACGAAAATTGGTGCAGAATAATATAAATTCAGAAGGGGGTTTTATGAAAATTTTATTGATTTAATAGTTGAATTCGGGAGTCACCACCATGGAACACCTGGGAGCACTGGACAGCCGTTTAATCCTATTATGGGACTCCTCAGCAGTGCGCATCCACAATCCCGCCGCACGGAATTTGAACGAAGGACCTATCGGTCTCGCACGCGAACGTTTAATCTCAAGACCACTGAACTGACATCCAACGGTTTTAATGTCTAACTTCAACCAATCCACGGAATTTTATTTCGTTAGATTTTCATCAGCTGCTTACAACCTATTGTATTTAAAATCAACGTTATTACAGATATTGACATACTTATACATACAAGGGCGATTAAAGATATGTGTATCATGATGTAACGAAAATTCCAATCGAGTTAATAAGGTCATCATAAATTTTGTTCCGAATAAATATTTTTGAGAGGGAAAGCTCCAAAACATTGAAATGGCGATTAGAACTCGCGGAGTTTGCAAACATGAGATGACTGTGTAGTGAAATGACTGAAAACATTATTGGTAATAAAGTAGGATATGAATTGGAATCAGTCAGCTATGAATTGAAGAAAAAATGATAATGATGTAATTAAACTGTAGAAAGAGTTGAAATAATGAGCGATGTAATATATAAAAAAGGCATAATGTTACAAGGGTAAAGAAAGATTTATTACTCCCTCTTTTTGGATACATAGATCTGGTTTCAGACATCTTGATAATAAAGACAATTATGTGTATGAAATAGTCTATTTATATTGCTGATTATATACATAGATTAAGCCATTGATTGGTTAGTATGAAGTACTACCCGCTCCAATGAATTAAAATTCTACTATTGACTAATAAGTAAATCGTACACAACTCTGTGTACTTTTCCATAGTTTTAAATCAGTGATTGATCCATTTTTGATGTATAACAAAATCGTCGTTTGTATTCTTGTCTTTTTGACTGTACCAAATCATATTATTCTTTGTTTGTATCATGTCTGATCGAAGAATTCATGAATGATAATTGATAGGAATTATTGATGGACTATTATTACATATATTCTTATCGAGTAATTATTAAGTACCAAGATTATATATCAGAAGGGGTTTTGTGGATATTTTATAATTTCAATAGTTGGAATCATGAGTCAATTGAAACTAAACCACTATGGGAAACCTGGAAGCACTGGATGGCCGTTTCGTCCTAGATTATGTTTATTCATATTCTTGTTATCTCAAGGTTTCAGTTTGCATATTGACCACTGTTATATGATATACAATCCCAATTTATTGGTTAGTCTGCCATACTCATAGCCACTTTGGGCTTCATCTTGTATAATTATTATTTTCCATTTCAGTGTGATGAGGTTTGGTCTGCTTGTATATAAACCATGTATGTCTGAAATATACTTTTTATATAGTGGAGACTAATATTTGTGTTCTGGACTGAATAAGCTAGGTTAGGCGAGAAGCAACTATACAGAAGATCAATAAGGACTCAGAGTTGACTCAAGGCCGCTAGTGTTGTTTTGACGCATCATTGGTTCAGCATAGGGACAAGGTCACAAAAATTGGCGATCTTGTGGTGTGATATTTGACGGGCCATAGGACACAAGTATCTGGAATAGCATTTAACCATGACCTTCATTCAATATTTAAGCTTATTTTTATGTTTTAAAGTGAAAATTACTTAGTTTGATGACGAGATCAGTAATCGCTGCTTTGTTATCACACAATCTAACAGCTGATCAGTATATCTTAATTCAAAACAATTTTAACAAACGGAGAATACTTTTTTGATTTTAACCATCAAGTGCCCGAAATTCCCCAAACTCCTACAAGAATGTTATAACTTGCACAATGTCCACTGGTAATGAAATCAATAAACTAAGACTACGTGAATTGGTGATAATCTGACAGGATTATTTTTTTTGACGGGCTCAATAGTCAAAAGAACTCCAAGTAAACTGATCAAAGGAAGAAGTGTAAAGCACTATCAAGGACAACCGAAATCTAATAGACCTGTTCCCTCAAGATTTTGAGACAGGTCAAAATTGCATAAACAAGAGACATCTCTAAAATAGATTGTGTCGCTAACAAGGACTCCAACCTGAAATTCATTTAAGGAACTCGACAGGATATCAAACCATTTGATACAATCATAGGATAGTTACATTAGCACTTTATGATGATGTTTAGACAATATCAGAAAACCTACAAATGAATAATGGCAGTCGTGATCCATTTAGAAAAGTCACGAGCGAAATCAACTCAAAGACAATCAAGTGTTGATTATTAACATTATCGAAAACATCAAGTTTACAGTAGAAAAATAATCAAACAAAATCCTGCTCCTGTAATAAATAAACTTTATGAATACAGGTACTTACGAAGCAAAGCCAAGCTGACCAAATAATGGATTACATTAGTAACCCGACAGATCGCAAAAATAGTTTTGCATAGACACTTTTAGAACAGCTAAAACTAATTGCCGCGCTCTCACAACACAGAAAAATTGGAGGAACCTATTTCTCGTCCACCCACAGATAAAATGGCTATCCTACTAACTTTATCAAAAGTTGTCTAGCAAGTTGACGTATCACCTCAAAATTTTCATCAGAAGTCAAATCATGATATCATTTCAGAAAAAAGAATTTTGGGAATTACAAGGATTCAGAATGTAAGCCTTTCAAAAGCCAATACAAGGCCGAAGGATACGAGGCGTAAGAGAAATGCAATACCAACTGCACTGGGCATTACAGTGGACAAAATGGTAGCCTCTTTCATCTTCGAACTAGCAACAAAACATGTTATTAAAATCAGTGTACGCAAGCAACTACGGACACGAACTAGGTTGCAAAAATGTCAAAATTGTGGACTGAGAATTTCTTGAATCAATAGGGTTTATCAGCATAGACATTAGTTGCCGATCTGTAGGATCAGCCAACCACATGGTCAGAGGTCAACCGAACACGAAAATAGACATGGGTACTGAGACAAATGAAGCCAACAAAACCTGTGAGGACTAGTTACAGACCAAATAATCAGAAAAAGCTGATTTGGCCTTTGTGAAAGAACTAAGTAGGTCGCTTGTATGTAAATTAAGCCTTAGCGGTGTTATTCGAAAAAGGAATGAAAGCACTCAGCTCAGAGAACACTATGCACTTAGAAGACAGTCACTTCTGACTATAAATCACAAGTAGTCATTTCCAAATTTTAGGTTTGTACTTTTTACATTAAGCAAAATTTATGGAGAAGCCAACTCCGCATGGAGCCCCTCCCGGGGCTACTGCCGGCCTCAAGCCCGGATAAAGGAGGAGGGTTGAGCATGGGGTTAACGACCCCATCCCATAGAAAACCAACTCGCTAAAGAACGCTAACCATGGAGAAACCGGTATTCTGAACGCTTTTAT